TCAGGACACATCCCAACTTTGAGTATCAAGAACCTCGTGGCTATCGATGTTTCGAGGAATAATTTGACGGGAGAGATACCAATGTCTATCCTTGAGAAGGTCCCTTGGATGGAGCGATTCAATTTCTCTTTCAACAACTTAACTTTTTGTTCCGGGAAGTTTTCAACTGAAACTCTGATCAGATCTTTCACTGGTTCTACAAATAGCTGCCCTATTGCTGCAAACCCGGCACTCTTCAAAAGAAGAAGATCGGTCACTGGAGGACTCAAGCTGGCTTTGGCAGTGACGCTTTCTACTATGTGCTTACTCATAGGAGCATTGATTTTTGTAGCATTTGGCTGCAGAAGGAAACACAAATCCGGTGAAACCAAAGATGTCTCATTAAAGGAGGAACAAAGCATTTCAGGTCCATTCTCTTTCCAAACGGATTCCACAACATGGGTGGCTGATGTGAAGCAAGCAAATGCAGTTCCTGTGGTTATCTTTGAGAAGCCATTGTTGAACATCACTTTTTCGGATCTCTTGTCTGCAACTTCCAACTTCGACAGAGACACTCTCTTAGCAGACGGTAAATTTGGTCCTGTTTACCGAGGTTTCCTCCCTGGTGGAATTCATGTAGCTGTGAAAGTTTTGGTCCACGGCTCAACTCTTAGTGATCAAGAAGCAGCTAGAGAGCTCGAGTATCTTGGAAGGATCAAGCACCCAAATCTTGTTCCATTATCTGGATATTGCATAGCCGGTGATCAAAGAATCGCCATTTACGAGTACATGGAAAATGGTAACTTGCAAAACTTGCTTCATGATCTGCCATTTGGAGTTCAGACAACAGATGATTGGAGCGCAGATACATGGGAAGAAGAAACTGACAATGGTATCCAAAACATAGGGCATGAAGGCCCGGTGGCGACATGGCGGTTTAGGCACATGATGGCACTTGGAACTGCCCGAGCATTGGCATTTCTTCACCACGGTTGTTCACCACCAATGATCCATAGGGATGTGAAAGCTAGTAGCATTTATCTTGACCAGAACTGGGAACCAAGATTATCTGACTTTGGTTTAGCCAAAGTCTTTGGAAACGGTTTGGATGATGAAATTACTCATGGCTCACCTGGTTATCTCCCTCCTGAGTTCTTGCAACCTGAACACGAGCTGCCAACACCGAAGTCTGATGTCTATTGCTTCGGGGTTGTTCTGTTTGAACTCATGACAGGGAAAAAGCCGATTGAAGATGATTATCTTGATGAGAAAGATGCCAACTTGGTGAGTTGGGTTAGAAGTTTGGTTAGGAAAAATCAAGGATCAAAAGCTATTGATCCAAAAATCCAAGAGACAGGCTCCGAAGATCAGATGGAAGAAGCTCTCAAGATCGGATACCTCTGCACAGCTGATCTTCCTTCAAAGCGGCCAAGTATGCAGCAAGTAGTTGGTCTTCTTAAAGATATTGAACCGAAACCCAATCAATGAAACATCACTTCTGAGTCTCTGCAAAAATGTTCTTTTCCCTTGAAAGTTTTTCTTTTTTGCCTTTTTTTTCAGTGTTTTGCTCTTTTCAATGGCTCCTCCAAGTTCCTTCGTGTGTATCGATTGTACATATAAGCTTGTTTGTGTTAACCTCTATCTCAAATGTTCATCCCCCATATAAAACATGTGCACAAAGAGGAGGTAATAAGACCCGGAACATAATCTTATATTACACGAATTGTCTTTAACAACATTCAAGGAATAATTTACTTCAAGGAATGGAGACAGGGGAAAAGTTTGCATATCAGGATGAAGAGGAAGCTTGCGTACTTAAGTTCGAGCTCGAGCTCCCGTAGATGTAAGAGCTGAATCCCCAAAATGTCAGGATCAAAGACAGGATTTTGAAGCCACTCATTGGATCATGCATCAATATGACAGCGGCAATGCTCGTGATGGGAACTCTCACGGCGTTTAGGACTCCTGCCATGACTGTAGATGCCAGAAACAAGACCGCGGTTGCCCCAAGAACACCAAGTTGAAACGTGACTGCACTCCAGATAAGAACCTGAGTGTACAGAGACTCACCGCCTTTGAAACTCTTAGCTTCATGACTCATCCCTTGGAAATCGTTGCTCACAACCATCCCAAGAGTGGTAAACGCAAAAGCAATAAGTGAAACCATGACTTGCTGCTCCAAAGCAACGTGAAAAGACCTTCTTCCAAGCAGTTTCACAAAGAGAAGCTCAGATAACGCAAAAATAAGTCCGTGGAGTGCAGACCCCATTATGTCCCAAAAGAAACCTGCAAAGTATTGGCTGTTGGTTATATAACTGTACCGATCAGAGCTTGAATCCAACGCTATTATAGCCATAGCACCGGTTATAATCACAATGGAGTTGACAACAGAAGCATTCAACGGGTTTTTAACAATGAGATAGCCAAACAAAGCAGAGAAGGCAAGCGACGAAGATGCCAAAAGAGAAGAAGTCGATGCAGGGAGATACGCGTAGGCATAAGCATACATAAGGTTATCTGCAGCACTCAAGAAACCAAGCACAACATAAGAGAGAACAAGCTTTGCATTGAGAGGTGTGGGTTTGATCTTTTGAAAGATATATGTAGGAAGTAAGATGAGACAAGTGATTGGCCATCCAGCAACAGCAACCCAAGAGATGATCCATTTGCTTTTGCCACCGTTGGAGAAGTAAAGACGAGACAACAGACTAGACGCCGGGAAAGCTATAAGCATTGCTGCACCACTGAGAACCAAGAGAATCCAATGTGAAATGGGCTTTGATTCGTAAGCTTCTCGTGTCGATTTCTTTACATTTGACATCCATACTGAATATGAAAATGAAACAGATGGTGGTTCTGTTGTTTCCTCCATTAGAAGTCCTGAAACATTAAAACAAAGTTGATCACAGTTCTGCAAAACTTGACTTTGAGTCTCTGCAGATTTGATCTGAAACAACTATGTACTAAACCCATGAAGAAACAATCGATGAGGGCTTCTAGAAACGCATGAACCTAACACTAAAAATCAAACCTTTATGGAAATTTTCGATTGAATCCAAACCAAAATCGTCTCAGAGTTTCACCATATTTAAAAAAAATCTCAGCTTTGATCAGATTCTTATGATCTTATCTCATCCCTAACTACAGAAACAGGATTGTTCAACAAGAAAAGCCACAGAATTGTTAAAGAGATTGACCAAAAGAACTAAAGTTTTCAAATTTACTATTCGATGATTAGAATCAAACTCAACACGTAAACCCAGAACAGAGAACGAAGAAAACAGAGTAAAGCCCAAAATTGAGAGCTAGGAAGAGTACTCACTGACTGATAAATTTGACTCGAGATTATCGTCTTTGAAAGTTGTCATTTTTTATATTAAAGCTCTTTTCTTTTCTTAAGTCGCAATTTTTCCGGTGAAGAAAACAGAGCTTGTTGCGATTAGGCCTCATGAGCTTTAAGAGTTCACGGATTAATAGCCGTCGGATTCGCTAACTGAATATTAACGGCTGAGATCTTGAGTTTGCGAATCTGTGGCTATGACAACGACCACAACATAATGGTTTTGCCTTTTTGCATGTTTTTGACCTATTTACCATGTTCGTTGGTTGGTTGGTAGGTCATGGTATGGTGTTGGGATAATTAGATCGGTTTTAGTTCAATTCTATTTTGATACGTATGTTTTGGGTCGGTATGTTCGGATATTCGAATATTTTTCAATAGACCTCAATGACATAATATATATATAAATCACAAAATGCCAAACCCTAATTTAGCATGGTTACAACGTGTTCGCAAAACGAGTGGTGTAAGAAGATTTTGTGGTTTAAATAAGAATATTATACTCCATTAAATTACTAAAATTTCTAACTCTGATCAACATAAATATATAGTTTTCTGAACATATCATTAATGAATGAGCTTGTTTAGAAAAGAAAAGAAAAATAAGATTGAAGGGTGGAGTAGAAAAATGAAAAGCAAAAAGAAAATTATATAAATTCTTCCGTCTTAGAGAGTGGCATTATATAAAACTCAAATTCAGGATATATATATATATTTATATAGTAGCAAAATCTTTGAAAATTTTTAGTTAGTTACTTAATTTTGGTTTAAGCTATGGTTTTTTTTTTTTTTTTTAACACCTGTTTAAGCTATGGTCATTTCTTCCTATTTCCCTAACCAAAGAGTACTACTGGTGGTCTAGTTAAGCTGGACGATTTTGATAAGTATAAATTGTGTCTAGAAATTTATATTAGGGATCGAGTTCTTCATCTTAAGCAAACGTAAAGTTTATAAACAGAAACAAATTCAGTGTTCTACATAGATTTCAAAGACTAGTTTGAATTTCTATATTAAATTACCTCAATCATAAAAATAAAATAAAAAAACCAAATTTGTGGCCCTGCCCTAATGGACCTGGTACAAGGAAATGAGGAATCTTAGCCAACATCGTTATCTAGCATGTGAGTATCTTATGGGTGCAATTCCAAAGGTTAAGTCTCAAATGTTTTTGTGTGATCTTAATGTTATCGCATGTCGTATCATGTTGTCATCATGTCGCCAGCAATCCATGGCGCCCACAAATGTAACATGCCAAGCTTTAGGGAAGTGCGTTAACAGAAAAATACTTCTTCTATAAAAATCCATAGCCACATCGTCTTATTAGTCTTGTCTTTTTCATTTTTGGGAATGTAATGGTTTAGATTAAACTTGTATTGTTTTTTGGAACAAAAACAAATTTGTTCAAAGTTCAACATACATCTAGGTTTATACATTTTTTACCCTAAATTTCAAAGTAATATCGTTTTTTTTTTTCATTATTGTGAAAGTGTTCTTCTGTAAATTTACATTTGTTTTGAAAGCAGTTTTTAGAGTAACAACTCTCCATTGTTTTAACTTTTAAGTAAAATTTAACGATAACTTAATCGGTTTTAATTTGGTATAAAATATTTCTGTGTTCAAACAACACTAAGAAGAGTGAGATGTAGTCTCAGCCAAATACAATTTCGTGGGACTACATGTATGAATATTGCATATTGCAACTCAATCTAAAGGAACGGGATTGAAGAGTAAGGACATGACACGATCAACAATTTTGGCTTTTTCAGGAGAGCCATGGCCATCGCCATATTGATACATGCACAGAGACATGCGTGCCAAGTTCATTACAGTTTCCATAAAATCATGATGGTGTAACGAAGAGCCATGTGACATTTTCTCGTAATTCATTTCATCCCACAAGTCGTTGATCATCTGCCGCACGTGCGATCTCGCCTTCTCCTCTGAAGCTCCGGTCTCATTCATGTAACATTGTATGGATTTATGGACGTCTCCTCTCGCCAATTCATCCTATCCATACATACAAATATTGGAACCATATTTTCTGACTATTTGTTCCAATTAAACATATATATGACCAACCTCTAAATTATAAATTTTGAAATAAAACCTATATATAGTTAATGTCTTTTGGAAGAAGTTGTTATACTTGTGAGGTTGCAAGATCGTTGGCTAGACGAACCACATAGGCAGAGCATCGGACAATGTTTTGCTGATGTTGGGACAAAGTCTCCAAGACCTGAATAGAGAGTTGGTCGGAGAATACGCAGTAGAAGTGGACATATATCGTTGGGATCGATACTGAAATCCAAGCATTATTCATGTACTCTTCCAGTTTTGGTTTGTGCCCTCTTTTGTACCATTTTGCTTCTACCAAATATGATTTGCATAGATTTGTCCACTAATAAGATAATTGAAAAAGATTATGTATGTAAGATTATGTAAGTGGTTTTATGTTTTGTTAACTAGATTTCTAATCACAAAAAAAAATTCTAAAACAAATAGTCAACTTTAATTTTCAATATATCAACTCTTATATATATATATATATTAACATATTTATTTAAATAACGAAGCCACATGCAGAAGCATTTCATAACCTCTCCTTTCAAATGGCATTCGAACCGCGACCTCTAAACTTTGTCTAAACAATGAATCTAATGACCATAAAAAATGGGTTGATTTTTTATATATACTTACAGATTTTTTGAGGAAAGGAATCACGTTGATATTTTTCTTTCTAAGGACATCACGTCCAATGCTATTGACTTCATTGTACATAACACGAAAACACAACCTCATGTAGTCAGGGAGTTCATCAAGGCGATTTAAATCCCAACTGCAACATATTTTATATAGACAATTCAATCAGTAATCTTTAGAATGACACAAGAAATTGAAGTGCAAAAAAATAAAAGTATATCACCTTTCAACCGCGTCAGTGAAAAGTTGAAGTTCTTCAAGAGTACCATAGATATCGTAGATGTCATCGATAGTTGTAATAAGTGCATTTACTTTAGTCATTGTTCGACGAACGTAACCAAACTCAGGTTCGTGGATATGTCCAATAGTCCAAAAATAATTCTCCACGATTCTATCTCTTGCAAAGTGAAGTTGATTACCTAAACCTGTCTCCCTCCACCAGCTTAACACCACATATAAAAGCAAAATCAAAACAAAAGAGTACTAAGTGTTATTTATATACGTTTTTTATTTGGCAGTGTTGTTCGTTACAAAAGAGTACTAATTCTACGGTCGCTAAATGCATGTTTTCTTGTAGCGCGTACGAGCCTCTTGGCAGTGTTTTTTCGCAAAAGCCAACCTCAAGTCCAAATTAACATTTGATAAGTTAATATATATATGGCTTATGTACTTGGTTATGTTATAATTTAATGAAGCGTTTAAAAAAATATATATTTAAGGCATCTTTAAAAGTACATATATGGGACTTCTAGTAATAAGATTATTACCTGGAAACGTATTTGAGTTCTTCTTGATGAATAGCCTGTACAATGTTGAAATCGATCTTGGCGAATTCAACTACGACAAGATTCTTGTTACGTCTCTTTCCATAAACATCTATGTACCATCTTGTGGCTAGCCTTCTCATTCGCCTATAGTAGGGCATATCTAACGCTTGGACCACCATGTCCACTATGTCACATGACCCAAAATCTTTATCACACTGAGTGTCAACAATGTCTCTTAGTTTTTGTGTTGCAAAAGGTCTGATGAATTGTTGTAGTTTCGTATCCCATTTTGTGGAAAGATATGACGCTTCGTAAAGAGATATGAGACCACCTATATCATCACTCTCAAACTCCCCACAATTTTCCATGAAAACATCGAATACACCTGTAAATATAGAAAGAAAAAGCATTGGTTATTAGTTAAATGTAAGGCCAAATTACCATACAACAAGGACTTAATGTATGTAAGTGATGATCTTGTTGGATGAATCTAATCACAGCAACCTTCTGAAACATTGAAACCATGTTGTCTAAAAAGTCGGAATTCGAGTGCGGTGGCACGCAAATCTTTTCTTATGTTAATTCTATCTTTTTGATAAGAAACTGTTAAAATGTTTTCAATTTCCCGTTCAAAATGGTAAGAAACCCCGAGTTTCTGAAGATCGTCGATCAGCTCCAATTGTTCGATGTATGTCTTCTTCTCATCACCTAGCATCTTTCTCACCTTTTCCTTCAGCAAATCTCTCTCTTCCACTCTCTTAGCTTTCTGAATACAGTGTAAATTGAACATTGCTATCAGCATTGTACTTAATAATATAAAATTTAAAAGTTTTATAGATCTCTCGTAGCACTCGTCGTAAACCCCAGCCTATTTTATTTTGAATATAATTTAACATTAAATTCAAAAAAAACAAAAATAACTACTATTCATACGGATTACATAAGTACCGCACCGCATATTTATTCTTGATCGAGAGGAGATCGCTGTGGTCCCAACGAGAAGGCTGATAGTTTGCCGAACGACGAAGAACAGTGGGAGACTCACCCGGTGTCATTTTGGCCATTGTGGTCCACTTGAAAGACTGAGGACGTTGAAGAGTCGTCTTAGCAAGTGCATTATTGTAAATGAGAAATGAACCTATCTGCAGTAAAGTGGCCATTAAACCAAAGTATTACACAACTTTCCAGTTTAAATGTAAGTCTCTATATATAATGCATGGAAGATTATTTATTTAGTCACGTTCATTTGTTTCGATATAAAAAGAATCTACTAATAAGGGGGTCATGTTTACATGGTGAAAGATGGTGATAGATATCACATGTTGTCGAAGATGACGCCATGGACCCGTGTTGTCATGCGTCGCCACAAATATAAAAATTAATACAAAACCTAGCAATCAATTAAGGTGGTCAAGTAGTTCACACGTCTCTCTATGGTCCACACTGGATACGGTCGGGAGGAAGTTGAGGAACTATGGCTTTGTGTCACCAATTTCATAAGATTCATTAGTCTTGTAATAAGTACAAGAATATTATTTGTCCACACTCGTTAAAGTTGTAACGCCGATGTTTCACAATCCTATAATATTAGATTTACAAAGCCTAAACCAAAATACAAACTTAATTTACGTCTTTGGTTATCTAAAAACTTCATATGAAGTTTAATCTAAAGGAATAGGATTGAAGAGTAAGGACTTGACACGATCAACAATTTTGGCTTTTTCGGGAGAGCCATGGCCATCTCCATATTGATACATGCACAGCGACATGCGTGCCAAATTGATCATAGTTTCCATAAAATCATGACTGAGTAGCGAGGTGTTATGTGCCATTTTTTCGTAATTCATTTCATCCCACATGTCATTGATCATCTCTCGCACGTGCGATCTCGCCTTCTCCTCTGAAGCTCCTGTCTCATTCATGTAACACTGGATGGATTTGTGGACGTCTCCTCTCGCCAATTCATCCTAGATTTACACACACAACACACATTTTCATATATATAATTAATAATCTTATGTATATATAAAGCGGTAAAAAATCAAATTAATTATTCTTGGTAAATATATTAGCTAGATGGGATGTCAAAAGAAGAGGGTTTGGTATAAACTTGCATGAAAGGTTTAATGATTGCTACAATTGGTGAAAATCAGTTTGAATAGTAACATATTTGTAATGTTAATTATTAACTACTTGTAATGCAATATGCATCCGAATTAAAAGTGTGTCCCTAACTACTTGGAAGAAAGTATTTTACCGGTGAGGTTGCAAGGTCGTTGGCTAGACGGAACACTGAGGAAGAGCATCGGACGACATTTTGTTGGTGTTGGGACAAAGTTTCCAAGACTTGAAGAGAGATTTGGTCGGAAAACACGCAGTAGAAGTGAATAAATATCGTTGGGGACGATATCGAAATCCAAGCATTTTGCATGTACTCTTCCAGATTTGGTTTGTGGCCTCTTTTGTACCACATCGCTTCTATTAAATATGCTTTGCATACATCTGTCCACTATATTTAAGATAATTGAAAAATTAGTATTAGGTACAATATTATGCAAATTTCCACACGTTAAATTCTACGTTAAACTACGTAAGAATTATCTATTGTTTAAAACAAGAAAAGTTATGTAAGAATAACTTCTATGCTTGAATAAATTTGTTAACCTGATTTCTAATTGTAAGAACTTACAAAAACATTTCAAGCTAAAAAAAAGGTAATCAATATTTTGTGTGTTTACTATAACATTGAACCAAAATTTACTTCTTTTTTTTAAACTACGTACGAAAGCGTTTTATAATCTCCTTTTTCAAGTGTAATTGGAACCGCGATCTCTAGGCTTTGTCTAAACAATGAATCTAATGACCACAAAAAAGGGGTTGATATTTTTTACTTACAGATTTTTTGAGGAAAGGAATCACGTTGATATTTTTCTTTCTGAGGACATCACATCCGATGCTATTGACTTCATTGTACACAACAAGAAAACACAACCTCATGTACTCAGGGAGTTCATCAAGACGATTTACATCCCAACTGCAACACCAAATTTTATAAACAAGTCAATTAATCAAGTAACTAATCTTATATAACATTATCAAATAACCAAGAAAATTTGAAGTAGGAAATTATAAGTGTGTGGGGGGGGGGGGGGGGGCTTCTTTACTTTTCAAACGCGACAGTGAAAAGTTGAAGTTCTTCAAGAGTGCCATAGATATCGTAGATATCATCAATACTAGTAAGAAGTGTATTTATTTTAGTCACTACTCGTCGAACGTTTCCGTATTGAGGCTCTTGGATTTGTCCTATCGTCCAAAAATAGTTTTCCACTATTCTGTCTCTTGCAAAGTGAAGTTGAGTACCTAAACCTGTCTCCCTCCACCATCTTAACACCACATACAAAGCAAGAAGATAAAAAAAAAAATCATATATACTATATTAATTATATTATATGCTATATCAATTTTCAACTTGAAATTTCAAAATTGAACATTTTTTGTGTGACCAGTTCATGTAACATACTGATTGCACTAGTGCCGCAGTGTTTTATATGAGGTATGGTACAAAGTGATTTATTGTTACATATAACATGTTTTGGTCCGAACCTCTTTGTTATGGATGTAAAGTTCATGAATTTTCATCTCAAACAAATTAACAGCTTAAACTTTAACGTATGGCTTATGATGTGCTTTACTATGTCATAATTTAATGGTGTTTAAAATAGGTGTAAGATAAATCTTTAAAAAGTAGCTATATGACTTCTAGTAATATATAGAAATTACCTGGAAACGTATTTGACTTCTTCTTGATGAACAGCTTGTACGATGTTGAAATCAGTCTTGGCCAACTCAACTAGGAGAAGGTTCTTGTTATGTTTCTTTCCATAAACATTTATGTACCGTCTCGTGGCTAGCCTTCTCATACCCCAATGGTAGGGCATATCTAACGCTTGGACCACCATCTCCCCGGCGTTACAGGACCCGAAATCTCTATTACTACTACCATTATTATCAAGAAAGTCTCTGAGTTTTTGTTTTGCAAAAGGTCTGATAAATTTTTGCAGTTTAGAATCCAGTTTTGTCGAAAGATACGACGCTTCATATAGAGATATGAAAGCATTTATATCAGTACCACTCTCAAACTTCTCACTATTCGCCATGAAAACGTCGAATATATCTGGAATCATAACAAGTTAGTTGTTGTTATATATGAGAACATCTTTGAATATACAGACATGATATAAGAAATGATATATTTGTAATGGAGTATTAATAATAACCTTCTGAAACATTGAAACCATGTTGTCTGAAAAGTCGGAATTCGAGTGCGGTGGCATGTAGGTCACATTCCTTGACGTTTACTCTATCTTTCTGATAAGAAGATAGTAGAATGTTATCGATTTCCGCTTGAAAATGGTATGAAATACCGAGTCTTTCTACATCGTCGATGAACTCTAATTTTTCGAGATAAGTCTTCTTCTCATCATCGAACATCTTTCTCACTTTTTCCTTCAACAAATCTCTCTCTCGCATGCTTTTATCTTTCTGAATGTTGAATAAAGAAAGTCTATAAAACATATATAGTTCCTATACCATAAATATTGTCTAGGGAACACGTACGTACCGCATATTGATTTTCCAGTGAGAGGAGATGGTGATGGTCCCAAAGAGAAGGTTGATAGTTTGCGGAACGGCGAGGAACTGTGGTTGAGTTATCATTATGTGATGTCATTGTGGCCACTGTGGTGCATGCAGGCTTAGGACGTGGAAGAGTCTTTGCACGGGCATTACTGTAAATAAAAGCTGAACCTATATGTAGTACAGTGGTCATTGTATAAATGTATTACGCATATACTTTTACCTTTTCAGATGTGTGTGTGTGTGTTTGTGTAAGTGTGTGTGTGTTTATGTATATATAGATACAAACACAAGATATGTATGCTGTCATCGATCTCGTCATGAATCACGTTTTTGATTTATATATTATTATGCTGGTTAATTAGATTTGGTATCTCTGAAAAAATTAAAATCGAAGATGAAGCCATGACAGACCGGTTTGATGTGTCATGCATGACCACAAAATATAAATCATGCATTGTTAAAAAAAAGTAACGTACGTATAACTTTAATTTCGTAACCATTTGCAATACCACCAACTCATTTAGGTCTTTCTAGTGGTCCAAAAGTGATGTCTCAAGTTTCGTAACCATTATAAAACCGCAAGTGCACAAGTCCACAACATGCATGTGACGAATATTGTGATGGAATCAACAAATTAAAGAATAATGAGGAACACTTGTGACAACTTATTTCATAACCAAGTAAATGAAGAGGCAAGCAATTCGAAAGGTGAACCGGGATAAGTACTCATACAATAAATTAAAATAAATTAAAAACCAAGAGAAATTAACAATCAAACAAAAAAGGACATGAATGATGAAACATGATTAACACATGATACTAGAACACATGTACAGCAAAACCATTCCTTTTTTTGGTGGTTAGTCACTATTTTTGTACGTACTCTTGAACTAAAATATCTAACAAAAAAATGGGATAAAAATATTAGGTAACGAATAGAGTTTGAATGAAGTTCATATAGATAAAGTCTTTGGTACATAAAAAACAATTATATTGTGGTAAAATTGAAGACAAATTATCATGAAGTGATATTTGTAGCTCAACGTGAATGTTATTCACAGAGCCTTTTGAAAATACTTAGGATCGTTTCAAATGAGATCGATGTGTCTGAGCCACAATCTCATATACATACGACGAAGAAACATCTGCCACAAGCATCAAAGCTTGGTGCATTATGATATATATAGTCCAATGAGAATTCAGAAATCAGAACCACATGTTTTATTCATTGTTATGTATCCTTGAGTGCTGTCTGGTCCTACTCTATGATAAGTCAAAACCAGCAAATTGTAGTATAAATGACAAAATTAGAAAAGGACTGTTCACTTGAAAGCATAATGACATGTGATCCCAATGCAATTTAATTAGAGCTCAACGCTTATACCTAATAAAATTTCTAAGTTAAAATCTCTTTATGATTTAGTCCCATAGCAAAAAAAGAAGAAAAATGAGTACTTTCCTCACAGAAGTACATATATGGTTTAGCTAGGAAGTATTGAAGAAGATATATATGACAGAAAGTATAAGAAAGGTGCCACTATTATTGTTGCAATTTTTTGTATTACATTTTGGAATTAACTTGAATTTAAAGAACAACTTAAACTAAATAGATAATAGTTAAAGCTCATGATTCTAAACCAAGTTATCATGTATTGGTAGAAGTAATGTGGAAAGCAATTCGGGAACATTCTTGTTTCAACATAGGAGGGAAAAATGGATTAAAAGGTAGATTTGGCAGGCAGTTCTTTTCTCCTTCAAGAAAAGCTTTGCAACAAGCAGGACCAATGTTACCAAAACTGCCAAGTAATATAGACTGAGAGATTTCCGCGATGCATCCAGGTATATTCATCGCGGCTGACCAACATTTTGTTATGTCGGGTAGTCCTGGTATGCCAAAGGTCGGAGGAAACGGGAAAGGAAACGGGAATTGTGGTAGCTGAGCATTAACAGAAACTGTAACACAAATGGTTACTAGAACAAATAGTACATTCTTGATGGCCATGATGTATGAATTGCTATGGGAAAACCAAATAAAACTTGGAATATCTCAGTTTCTTTTCTAGTTTGTAATTGATTGATGAAAATAATATGGGATCATTGTTCTTATTTATATGAAAGAAATAAAGACTTAGCTTTGACTATCTTTAGAGAAACTTCTTTGAGTATTTAGTTAGTAAATTAATTTGCGGTTTTCCAACATTGAAAAAGAGTTGAAATCACCATTACTACTGCCTAAAAGATGTAACGAGTGTCATTAAAACGTTTATAACGTAACGTGAGGAAAGGTTCATGAACGATGCTTAGTATTAGTTTTCCCTAGCAAACTTCACGTACGTACTACTTTCTCATGCTTGTAAACGGGCTCTCTTGTGTGGGCTTTAGTAAATATATTGGGTCAAATTTTTGGTATCGTTGGGCTTTTTGAAATGGATGTTTATCTCTTTTGTCAAAATGTTTTAGATTTAGAGCCTCCCTTCTTACATAAGAAGGTAACAGAATGGAGAGAAAGGTAAACACACTAGACCGAATTAAACCAAAATTCATCGATCGGAATTCAAAACCAACTTTGATTACAACTCACTTTGCGTAGAATTTTCTATATGGAATTATTCAAACCGATTTTTCAACCAAATTTTAAAGTTATGTGAACAAATTGAATCCACCAAATTAACCGAAATTAGAAAAAGTACTATTTTAATTAGAATTAGTTAGCAAAACATTTAAATTTAAATGACAAAAACATATAATGTTGTACCACCATTTGATTTAAAACGTGTATCCAGTAGAAGATTGTCTATAAGCCATGCATGGTAATTGGTAACCATCATCCTATATATGATCTATCTAATTTAAAAAAAAAAAAAAAAAAAAAAAATGATCTATCTAATTTTTGATATTATTCCATTATTCCATTTTGTACAATATAATATTAGCCAGACGTTGACAAAAAAAAAAATTATTAGCCACACGTTAATAAAGAAAAGTCGATGTTTCAGTTTAGACCGTTGTTGACAAAACAAATTAAGAAAATATAGTTGAAGTGATTAAGCTCTTTGTGTTGACTAGTACGCCGTGTACTAGTCCTGGTTCGAACGTTCCATATATTTGTTGTAATATGTGCGAATAGTTTAATTGATAACGTAGTGGAACTTTTAAAATTTGTTAAAAAGAACATAGAGTAAAAATCATGACTAGACCGTTAACGTTTCTTCTTTGCTATAAAAGTTAAAAGTAAATTATAATAAAATTCAAAAAAAGAAGTAAATTATAATTAATACTGTATGTATGTCAATGATCTAAAATAGGTGCTAAGTTTTTTTATTTTTATTATTTATATAATATGTTATAGATTTATTATTAGTTAATTTATTTGATTTTATTTAGATATAAATAATCTATAAAATCCATTTAGCCACTGAATTTTTATTATAGGATTTAGGTATGTAAACTCAACCTATTATAATGTATGGGTTGAGTTAAACCCGTCTACATAAATTTCATACGCATGTATTTGAGTTTGGGTCGGCTTACCATCGATGGTTGATATATTTTCTAATGAGATGATACAATACTATAACATTTGGGACATGAATCCTAACAACAACGGGTTTACCATATTAGGAACAATGGTTTAGTAATGCACGGACCAGAACTTTAAACTTAGTTTCACTTAGATTATACAAGTAAACTGCATCAAATATTTGGAAGGTTTTTCATATTTGTTTTCACAAGTCCAATGTGCCATGACTGTACAAACTTCTACAAGATATTCATTCTTTTTGACAAAGTATATATCTCTCATGATTTTGCTGAGAAAATTTATATATCATGTGTTTTTTGGTCACATAATATAGGCTAAATTTTAGTGACACAGTTTGAAATTGTTACCTTTGGCATATTGGTTTAGTAGTAATTAATAATGTTGGAGGTCAGACCTCAAATACATTTTTTCCTTCCTATTGGCAATATATATTATTTATGTGTGTTTTTTGTCTTTATTTATCTCCTTTTATTTTCTTTGGATTTATTTTCATAATTTTTTTTATAAAACCATTCTTTTATTGATTTGGTAAATAAAATTCCTTATGAACAAAACTAAAGCTTACCAATAACATTTGTGCGAAAAACGCATAATAATAACCTTGGAGAAATGATTAACCTCCTTTGCGCTTTTGGTAAAGCTGCATTACGAGCAAAGTATGTATTGGTAAGCTACAATATTTATATTTGAGAGGAAGAAGGCTCAAACTAAATGAAATGAGTACATGAAGAAAGAAAAAATATTAAATATATTTTGAGTCACCATCGTTTCTTGTTCACCGTATAATCAAAGACTTCAAATCTTTAGTTCCTCGCTTCATTCACAACATTGATTGGTGCAATTTTGGAAGTTGCTCTTCAACCATTGTTCGATCATGTTACGACGCACCAATGTGATATGAAGATCGCCACACCAATTTGATATAGGATCAAGATACAAAATATTAATCAATTTTGTTCTCTCTTAAATAGAGTAACTAACTCTTAAGTTATAAATTTTCAGTATTCAACAAAGTTGGTGTACTATTTTTTGGTATTTTTCATGGTTTCTAATGTGTAAATGCTAATTTTGATAATTAATAATACATAGAAGACCACATGTTATCAATGTCCTTTAGGTCACTTAAAAGTTAAAACTAAAGACCGGCAGCAATGTCTCTTGTTTCTCATCTTACCATACTCAAAATCAGTCTCTATGGAAAGAATTATCTCCTTGAAGAAGATAGCCGCCGTCTAAAGCCATTGACACATAAACTAAAGAAACTAGATTTTACACCCTCGATGCATGGAAGAGTAACAACAGAAGAAACACGGAAACAAAGACCTTTTGACACCAATGTCAACCCGTGATCTTGATCTTGGTGACACTAACACTCTTGTATAGAGTTCTTCTACTGCTCAACTCATAACTCAACCAATGTCTAATGGAATTTCATATAGAAAATAAATAAACTAATGGAATCCACCTCCAACAATCTTTAAGAAAATGATATAGGTATACAAAAAAAACATGGAGCACAACTCTCAAGTAGCATGTCATCGCCATTACACAATTTACCATCGTCAAATTTATTAAGTGCCAAATGAAGGAAGAGAACTACACTAAGAGGGGTGTATTGAAAGTAGAATTATGGAGGATTCTCGATTGTTTTTAAAATCTTTTGTTATTCAACTAGAGATTTGTAAATCACTTTTCAAATCCACTGTTATTGAATATGACATTTATAAAAAAATCCTTTAAAATCACTTACTATCCCTGTTATTCAATCAATAATTTGTAAAAATCATATCAAATCCACTGTTATTCAAAACATAACTTTTCTTTTTTGACAATACCATAAAAAGTGATTTTAGGAGACTTCGGTACATTTTTATAAGAGAAATCCAGTTAAAAGAGTCACATCTTGGAGGGTGCGATTTTGAAAGATTGGTTTAAACAAAAGAATTCACATAAAAAAAATACAAAAGGCATTAGGTGGGCGTGCTGTTCAGTATCGAGAAGTACAAGGTCACAAAACCGAAAAGTTTTTTTCCTACTTCAAACTTTGCATAATACCTCAAGAGGGTGGGGTTGCTTCTGGGTTCAACCACGTAACCCCCTAGGAGTATCAAACACGTTTGTATATTTGCAAATCTGAGTCGAGGTGCGTGCTTGTGACACTCTAATTGATCGAATCATGATGCAATATGAGTACTTATTTTTATATTATTTTTGGATTTTACAATTGTATCTTTTGTGTTACACGTTTTGGATCGATTTGTATTACAAATGATTTGGCACTGTCTCAAGATCATGTCACTGATATGTGTTTAGTGTTTGGTTTTGCTCATTAATGTTTAGTTCAATCCTTATTTCATCTTCTAGACAATGAATTCGAAAAAAATCATGATTTGAATACACCCTTAAAATAAAAAGTTAACACACATTATCTAAATAAAGCAAATTGAGGAATGACACCGCTAGAAATGTAGAGAGAAAACTAATAGGGGAATATAGCCCATGACTCATGGCCCATATTCCACTACTAAAAACAACCACAAAGACTGAGGGTTATAATGCTAAAAATCAGAATACGAAGTGACAAGTTCGGGAACAATGCCAAATGAAAAGGTGTAGGCCTCCCACAACATTTTTTCTCATATTTTTTTTTACAACCGAGCTCGTCACATTTTTTTTTTGGCTTACGAGCTCCGTAGTAGAATTGAAAAGAAATTAAAGAAAATGGCTCGTGAGGCTCACACCCTTTTACACCCATATGAAACACTCCGCCTAGAAACACTTCAACATGATTGAGGATAAAACTCATGTATATCCCAAAGAGAAATGTTTGGGAAGGCTGCTGAGAATAATCAACTCAAAGTCTTTCTATAGAACTCACAAACCAAAACAAAAATAAATTGAAAAAGATAAATCCAACCATAAAATAAAGTAGTCACTCACTCGCACACACATCACACATGTGTATAATCAATCACACCTAACAAGTAAACACGAAACCATCTATATATACGCCTTTGAAAGGCCGTCACTTTACATTGTTTTCTCCTTCGTCTTCCTCTTCCTTAGACTTCAGTTCAATCACACACCTCTCTATAGACAAATCAAAACCATGGGTCACACTCTCGGTCTCACTCAACCCAACTCCACTGAGCCTCACAAGGTTTGCTTGCTTTTACTGTGATTCGAGATGGGTTTGTTATTTTTTCGATGATCCGTAGATTTGCTTTGTTATTTTGATCAATCGAGTTCAAAGTTTTGATTTTTATGGCGATGATTGTGTAGATCTCGTTCGCTGCGAAGGAGATCGATGTGATTGCATGGAAAGGAGATATACTCGTTGTTGGTGTGACGGATAAAGATTTGAGCAAAGATGGTAACTCGAAGTTTGAGAATCCGATCTTGAACAAGCTCGATGGTCACTTGAGTGGACTCTTAGCTCAAGTCTCGTCCGAGGAGGATTTCACTGGTAAACCTGGTCAATCAACTGTTCTTAGGCTTCCGGGTCTTGGAGCAAAGCGAATTGGTTTGATCGGTCTTGGACAATCTGTTTCATCTCCATTGGCTTTTCATAGCCTTGGTGATGGTGTAGCTACGGTTTCGAAAGCTTCTCAATCTAGTAGCGCTGCAATTGTGCTTGCTTCAAGTGTTTCTGATGAATCTAAGCTTAGTTCTGCATCAGCTTTAGCTTCAGGTAAGTTCAATTAGTAATAAGAGAAGTTTTAAGTCTTGTTTGTTACAGTTTTGGAACTGATTTTTGTGGTTTGATTGTTTTGCTTGTGGATATAGGCATAGTGCTTGGTTTGTTTGAAGATAGTAGGTATAAGTCTGAATCAAAGAAAGCATCTTTGAAGTCTGTTGATATCATTGGATTTGGAACTGGTCCTGAGGTAGAAAAGAAGCTCAAGTATGCTCAAGATGTTTCTTACGGTGTGATTTTCGGGAGAGAACTCACTAATTCTCCTGCCAATGTGCTTACTCCTGGTATGAATGGACATTCACGGGCTTAAATGGTTAAGGTTTTTTTTTTAATTCCTTGAGTTGTTCTAATATGGCTACTGTTATTTTTTTGTATTGTTTCAGCTGTACTAGCTGAGGAGGCAGCCAAAGTGGCTTCTACGTACAGTGATGTCTTCACTGCAAACATACTGAACGAGGAGCAATGCAAAGAATTGAAGATGGGTTCTTATCTAGCTGTTGCGGCTGCCTCGGCTAACCCCCCTCATTTCATCCACCTTATCTATAAACCTGCCAGTGGCTCTGTTAAGACGAAACTTGCTCTTGTTGGAAAAGGATTGACCTTTGACAGGTAATTAATCATTTTGTATCGCTTTGTGTTTTCTCTGTTACGATCTGGCACCTTTCTTTGTTATTTTAGTGGTTGTTGATTTAAATGTCTTGTGTTCACAGTGGTGGCTACAACATTAAGACTGGACCTGGCTGCTTAATTGAGCTCATGAAATTCGACATGGGTGGTTCAGCTGCTGTTCTTGGTGCTGCGAAAGCTATTGGTCAGATTAAGCCTCCTGGTGTTGAGGTTTGTCTCTCCCATCAGATTCTTTGGGAAGCTAGAGTTTGTTAACGCAACTAAACAATTGATCTTTGCACAACCAGGTTCATTTCATCGTTGCAGCCTGTGAGAATATGATTAGTGGAACCGGAATGAGACCTGGAGATGTCATCACAGCCTCAAACGGAAAGACCATTGAGGTATCTAGTGATTTTTTCCCCTCAGGTTTGAGCTTTTGTCGGTTTTCCTATGCAATGCTAATTGTTGGCGATGGTGTGTGTAGGTCAACAACACAGATGCTGAAGGTCGTCTAACACTTGCAGATGCTCTAGTGTATGCTTGTAACCAGGGCGTTGACAAGGTACTGTGTTGCTTTCTTTATAAGAGAAGCTAAAGGAGCTAGTTTCTGTTAAATTTATCCTTTCACTTAAACATTGTCAAATAACTTGCAGATTGTTGACCTTGCTACATTGACCGGGGCCTGTGTTATTGCTCTTGGACCATCAATGGCAGGTACATATCTCAATAATTCGGGAGAAACTATTTATCTTTGTATTGCCTTTGTTCAAAAATGGCTCATTTTGATGGTTCGGTGTTCTTTACTTGATACTTGATAGGTATCTATACCCCTAGCGACGAGCTTGCAAAGGAAGTGATATCTGCATCAGAGAGGAGTGGAGAGAAGCTGTGGAGGATGCCATTGGAAGAGAGCTATTGGGAGATGATGAAGTCTGGAGTGGCTGATATGGTCAACACAGGGGGGCGTGCAGGAGGTTCCATCACCGCAGCTCTCTTCTTGAAACAGGTGAAAACCAAGTCTTTTTAAAGACTATACATCACATGATTCTGATAAAACAGATTGGTGAAAAATAACTAAACCGTCCTATGTTTTTGCGGTATGTCAGATAAATATCCTTTTCAATTTGGTTAATCTCTATTACAAATTCTTTGTGTATTTTGGTGTTTCTAACCATCCACTCACTTTTTTGGTGTTGCGACGCTTGTTGAATGGGTGCAGAAGAACTCATCTTCGTGAACGAAACCTAGAGAGAGAGAGAGCGAGAGTGAGACCGTAGAGTTTTCTGAGTGTTGAAGTGATTGCTGGTTTTTAATAAAGGTCTCAAAAGTTGCTCTGTTATTAGATGTTCTTGCTTGGTCCGATAAGTAACATCTTGAAAAGTTGAATAAATGGGTTCTTTGCTTTGTGACGTGCAAATACTTTTGAAGTCTTCTTCATCATTGGTCCAATATTGATGAAGACAGAATTTGAAATGCAAAAATTGAAACATCAATTGAAGAAAAAAAAAAAACAAGCATTCTCTGGTGTAGCAAAATCAATTGCTATTGAAGTGTTACAAGACTTGACTCTCATCAATCATAAAACAAAATTTAATTAAACAAACATATCATATCAAATTTTTCAAACTAATATTTACAAATGAGCATATATATTTACTATGCGATTTCTAAAACATATATGTATCAATGTTTTGAATATATATTTTTTTAAAAATTTTGAATTAGTTATTCTAGTTTATAGCATATATTTTATTGGCCAGAACTAATTGGTTTGGCCAGGTCCACGAGATGATGCACTGGGACGTACACGAACCTTCATAGAGTTGAAGATCTTCTTCTGATCCCAAACCCTGTTTCCTATTTTTTTCCAAACATAAAAAAAAAAAACATAACAAACCATTAACAAATCAAATTTGATTATCATTTATTGAACATATATATTTTACAAACATGGAATAAAAACCTAAAGTCCAAAGTAAAACCAAAACTAAAATAACATATATTCGATTTTATTTCATTCAACATCTCTATTTTCTAAGACCTACATGTAAACTACAATCATACCAAATCGGATATTCAAACTAATAAAAAAATTACTCGGAATATAAAAAAAAAGTTTACTTGGATTTGAAGATTCATATTGTACTCGAGCCAATGCTGTGTTTGATAGTCCAGAGAGCAAGAGAAAGCTCAAAGTTAGTAAGCAAACGAAGAGTTTACACATTTCTTTTTGGGTTGATTGAAAAAGTATGGATTCAAAATGTTCAATTCGTAGTATATATATATAGATAAATGAACATCCACGTTGTGCAATGTTCTATTTTATTAAATGAAACAAAGTCAAAATGGTTTGGTTCGGAATCGTACCGCGTGTTATGAAAAGAGAAATGTGAACCTTGATATTATTTATTATTAGGCTCAACGTGTTTTATGTTCAATGTATACAATGAAAGGCGTGTGACTCTTGACAATGTAATGCAAAGTGGCTTTATGTACTTAAATGTCTTCTACTAATTAGTCTAACTTAATAAAAGTTATATATATACTGTATGAAGAACAAAGTGGTTCTCACTTGGAAACAAATTTCGTATATGTGATTTTTAGGCTAAAGATTAATTACCCTTAAAAAGTACATAAAGCATCTAAATCACTTTTATGTAGTGGGTGGAAATGGTGTTTTTTAATATCCAAAAACCAAACTCAAAACGTCCAGAACCAAACCAAATCCGAATCAAGACTTTAAAATACCTCTCGCACTGACCATAAACCTACAATTTCAAGGTTCACAACTGGATACGGGAGATTCTTCATTTCAAAAAGAAAATTGTATCAGTGGAATTTCAATAGACACAAAGAAGAAACAATCAGGTTGCCGATCGTGTAGCTAAAGAAAAAGTTTACACCTTATACAAATTATGTTATGTACTCTTTGGTTCCTCAATTCCTTGTAAACTTCGTCTTTGAGGATCACATTCCCAAAATATTAGAAACCGAACCGGAATCAACCCGAATACCCAAACGCCAAAGCCTAACCAAAACTATTCAACGTTGAAATTATTGGCCGGCTATTATAGACACCCGCACGAACCTCGTCTCTTATTATGAGTATTATGAGTATTTTACTCAGCTCATATTAGCTTTATACTTTAGCTTACATTAGTATAGTATATAATACACTTGTAATACTCATTTTACACTTTAAGGAGAATAAAACATAATTTGTTTTATTCATAATACTCATAATATCTCTCTCTTTTCGTAATATTCATAATATTCATAATATTCATAATACTCATAATATTCATAAAACATAATTTGTTTTATTCATAATACTCATAATATCATACTCATAATATTCATAATTTGTTTACTCATTATGAGTAAAATACTCATAATACTCATAATATCTCTCTCTTTTCGGTTCCCTCTTCGAATTGGTTTCATTTGGTATGCTAATCATTTCAACGTCAACGGTAACGGATTTGTTTATGGCCACTCACTCTTTACGTTCCAATTTCTGAACTACGTGGCTTCACTAGCTACCACATTTCGTTTGTAACATTTTGTCTAAACTGAAACCCAGAAAAAAAAAATAGGTTTCAAAATGGCTGAGGAAACACCAAGGTATAACTCAATCTTCACTTAGTTCTTGATTTAGTTCTGATTTAGTTTATCAGATTTTAGTTCTGGGTTTTGTAGATTTGCTATAGTTACTGGAGGGAACAGAGGAATTGGATTTGAGATATGCAGACAATTAGCTAACCAAGGGATTAGGGTTGTTCTGACATCTAGAGATGATAGATTAGGACTCGAAGCTGTTGAGACATTGAAGACAGAGTTTGGTATTTCTGATCAAAGCATTGTCTTTCATCAGCTTGATGTCTCTGATCCTGCTAGTGTCACTTCTCTTGTTGAGTTTGTGAAAACCCAATTCGGAAAACTCGATATCTTGGTACGATTACACTCTTTTGATCAGTTCCTCTGTAACAGGTCTTTAAAGCAAGAGTCTTTATTGATAAATCCTCTTCTTGCAGATTAATAATGCAGGGGTTGGTGGTGTAATCACTGATGTTGATGCTTTAAGAGCTGGGACAGGGAAAGTAAGAGTCTTTATGTGTTTAAGCAGTTGATCTTATGATATAGTGTTTGATGGATCTTTGTCAAGTTTAATGCTTTCTTGTTGCTTCTTCATTGCAGGAAGGTTTCAAGTGGGAGGAAACTATCACAGAGACGTATGAGCTAGCTGAAGAATGTATCAAGATTAACTATTATGGATCAAAGAGAATGTGTGGAGCGTTTATTCCTCTTTTGCGGTTATCTGATTCTCCAAGAATCGTTAATGTATCATCCTTCATGGGTCAAGTTAAGGTATGATATCAAGAATGCTTGAGAGATGTTGGAAGAGTAACTTTTTTTTTTTACATTAGTATTGATTATTGTTCGATCGCCAGAATTTACTAAACGAATGGGCGAAAGGGATCTTGAGCGACGCAGAGAATCTCACGGAGGAAAGAATTGATGAAGTGATCAACAAACTTCTCAGTGATTTGAAAGATGATACTGTAAAGGCAAAAGATTGGGCTTATGTTATGTCTGCTTACGTGGTTTCGAAAGCCGGTTTGAATGGTTACACAAGGATCCTGGCGAAGAAACATCCCGAGTTTCGTGTAACCTCGGTTTGTCCTGGATTTGTTAAGACGGATATTAATTTCAAGACTGGAGTTTTGTCTGTTGAAGAAGGAGCATCAAGTCCTGTGATGTTGGCTTTGCTTCCACATAAAGAATCTCCTTCTGGTTGTTTCTTTGATCGCCATCAAGTTTCAGAGTTCTAAATCTTTGTAGGTTAGTATAAAATCAATCCAAATTTTATTAATGTAAATGATAATTATTGTTTGAAAGCTTGACATAAACTTATAAATAAAATTACATATTGTGTTGAGCCATAAGTATACTGAAGATTCAAAGAGGGAAACTTTATTAATCCTTATTCATTGCAAACTGTGTTTTGCGTTTCCAACACTCTTAAAGCTTACGGTTGATGACCCTAACAGGAACAAGGTGAAGAGGATGCTTCCTATGGCTAGTGAGACCAGCTATTTCTTCAGCACTCACTTCCTCTGTCACTTTCCAATCAAAATGGTACAAAAGATTCGCCAATGCGTACTCCACAGTACTTAATCCCACGTTCATAGCGGGACAACCTCTGCGTCCGCTCCCAAACGGCAACAGCTCATAACTCGTCCCTCTACTATCGACATTGCTACCAATGAATCTCTCTGGAATAAACTCCTCTGGATCCTTCCACACATCAGGGCTACGACCAATCGCCCATGCATTGACTTGAATACGCGTTCCAGGGTAAATGTCATAGCCTTTGATCTTGAATTTGGTCATTGCTTCTCTAGGAATCAGGATTGGACTCGTTGCGTGTAGCCTCCAAGTCTCCTTGATTACCATTTTCAGGTATTCTAGACCCTCAAGATCATCGTAAGTCACTATACCGTTGTCTCCTACGCGTTCACGAATCTCGGCTTGTACTTTCTTCATCACTCTTGGGTGTCTTGCAAGCTCTGCCATTGTCCAATCCATACTGATTGCAGATGTGTCTACTCCCGCTACGAACAAATCCTGAAATGAAAAAAAGAACAATCCATATGTAGTTATGTCTAAAAGCCAGACACGAACAGAGCTTATGTCTTAAAAAACTATTTATATAAAACTTACCATAAGAATCGCTTTGATATGTGCATCAGTGATCCTATTAGAACCAATTTTGGTTTCTTGACGTTGTAACTTGAGCAATACGTCAATCAAATCCTCACGTTCTTCAGTTTTCTTGTTTTCCCTATGAGCAACAATAGCTTTCTGATAAAACGTATCAAGATCTTTAAAACTCTTCCTCCGGCTAGATTCAAGCCCACTGATCCGATCAATGATCCAGCCAAACCCTGGGAAAATATCCGCCGCCGCGAATTTGCCGATGACTGTGTTGGCCTCCGTGAACAGCTCAAAAAACCTCTCGTTATCCATACCACTCCCTTGAAAACTTAGACCAAACGCCATCCGACACGTAAAGCTCGCCACGAACTTGACCATCTTCGCCGTCAGATCAACGGAAGATCCAGCCGCCGCCGAGTCAGACAACGAGTCGACGAGTCGACTCAGCTCCTCGTCTCTAATGTACCGAAACGAATTGGCTCGTCTGACAGAGAAAAGTTCAAGAACACAGAGTTTACGAACTTCTCTGTAGTAATCACCCCATCGAGTAAACCCTAGACCAAGTCCATCATAGAAAAAGCTCTTAGCGATCGATAGCTTGGGACGAGTGCAACACTCCGAGTCATGGAGTTTTAAAACCTCCTCCGCCGTCTCCGGAGAGTGAACAACCACCGTACGTACGCTTCCAAGGTAGACGGTGATGACAGGGCCATACTTGAGAGAGAGATCTCTTAGAGTACGGTGAGGAAGAGATCCAAGCTGGTGGATGTTTCCTAAGATAGGTAATCTTGGTGGACCTGGTGGAAGATTTTTAGGTGAACGAAGAAGAAAGATGATGAGAAGTGGTGGTAGTAAAAGTAGTGGAAGCCATGGAAGCAACTCAGTGGAGATCATTGGGAAAGAGAATAGTGACATTTGTTTATTTTATCTTCTATTATATTAGGTATGTGTGTCTGTGTTACCCATATCACATGCTGATTAATATATACTATAATACATGTGACGTACGTACGTTGATTAAAATTTTAAAGTTTTGTTTGTAAAAGACATATCTCGACCACATGCTGACATGTTTGACATTTACGTCTACAATGTTAAACACGAGAAACGGTCATTATAGGGAACCTTGAACAGTAGTGTAAACTAATCTCCTTGTTGTGATTACGGTTCGTGTAATCGTTAAGCCCATCTTATAGGTCTCGAATCCGTTTTAATTTGATTACTCTCTGTTTAATCTGATTACTCTCTGTCTAATCTGTGTATTTTTAGATTACAAATATAAAACAATTTTTTGGTTTGGTTATTCAATATTTAGATTGAGAAATTGGTATGTTTTATAATAATTTTAATTTCTGATTTGTTTTATAATAATTTTAATAAAAAATAATAAATTTAGTTTTTAAAAAATATGTTTTCATTTGTTTCCTAAAATTTTGAAATTAATATTATTGGTTTTTAATGAACTATATAAATTATATATTTATTAGTTAATAAAACAGTTCTAAAACTAGTCTCTTTTTTTTTTTTTGGTCGACTCTAAAACTAGTCTTTAAGAACATGTCCAACAAGGGAGATGCTAAAGAAAATTACTCAAAAATTAAAATTAATCAAAAATAAAAACTTCGAGAGAAAAAAAAAATTTTGGTTGCTTAATATGAAGACTATAGAAATGGTACCAATATTATTTTTCACACATGTCCTTTTCTTGATTATAATTCCACCAATAGAGATGGTCTACCTAATTTTTATTTATTTTTTATTTTTTAGGACGCTAACTCGATTGTTGGACTAGCGCCTAATTATTTTTTAAAAATATGTATACATATCTTATAATGCTAATATTTTAATTGTCAAGTGTCAACTATGATTAATTTGGATCGATGTATGAAGATTCAAACCTTGACTTTAATTCTAAATATAATTGAGTTATTTTATTTTTCCAAACATGGAGGTATAAAGTCTTCAGAACAGAAAATTGAAGCCCCATGGTCCGAAACTGGTCTACGCTGATATTTACAATAGAGAACATATGTGTCAAATCTCTACGGTCTCGAAAATTAACTTAATTACCGTTGGTTAAATTGCGTATTTCAACCACTAAATGTGTATTCATGTTTTAGTTATTCATGTTTGTATCATTGTATATATGCCCATCTCTGAAAAAGTAACGTTTATATATGGATATATGAATTGGGCTTTAACCAATTCATATACGTTTACCAATTACCATATACTTTACATTGTTGAACAAGACTAATCTACAAACGGAAAATTGTAGAGTAAGACTAATCTCCGGAGAATGTGTATGTAACATTAGTTGGATCGATGTATCAAGATTCAAACCTTGACTTTAATCCTAAACATGATTGATGACTTTCTTTTTCTTTTGGACTTTCTAACATGGAGGGGTTTAGAGTTTTCTGACCAAAATCTCTAAGACCACCTTCACTAATCATTTTTTTTTTTGGTAAGACCTTCACTAATCATTTTATGGATGTCTAAGTTCAAATTTTTAATATAAACTTAAGATCTTTTTGAAGAGAAAGGAATATCTAATTGAAGATACTCGGAACAGTTCTAAGAGTGAAATTAAATGGGTGTCTTAAACTTAAAAAATAATAAAACTAAAGAAAAGTAAAAAAGAAAAATTATTGAAAATAGTCAAGAACCGCATAAAGACATTATAGACACTTTTCAAAACTTCATTGGTTTGTATTTATGTTTTTTTCCTTTGTATTGACAAAACTATCTCTCTCTCTTGATACAACATAGACCACAAAACTTTTCCTCTATGATAATCAATTTTGAACCCTTGATCCATATGTGAATCTTCTATTTCCATCCTATTCTTTCTCCGTTGTTAAAAGAGAAATTTCCTAAGATAGCATGATTTAAGTTTTTCTTCCAAAATACCATTTGTTTTTTTTTTCCTAAAATACCACAAAATTTTTATATTTCCAAAAATACCATAAACATAAAAATTTGAATTTTGAAGATGTAGAATTTTTTTTAATGTTTGGGTTGACTATTTATATTTAGGGTATAGTTTTTAGGGGTAGGTTTAATGTTTAGGATTTAAAAAATTAGTTTTGAATATGAAAAATTTAAGTTTTAGTTTTGTGGTAATTTTGAAAAAAATTGTATTTTAGTGATATTTTTGAAAAATAAACTTCATAATAATATTTTTGGAAAAATACTTATTTTAGTGGTATTTAATAGAATTTTCCTTGTTAAAATCTGATTCCAATGAGGGAAAAATCAAAAGGATTTGATTCGTTTTTAGGCTGTTTGCTTCATATTACTATAGCTCATTGGTTTTATGCTTTTATATTTTCTTCTCCATAACTTGTCTTTATTTTTGTGGACTGGATCTGAATCTAAAGTTTACATTGTATTCATGTTCAATCTCATTGTGATACATATTATAATTTTCCAGAGACTGAAGTATCCATTGAATGATATAGTTTCCGGTGAGCTTAATCGGTTTTAGGACACTTAGACCATGTGTAATGGAGATATTTAAGGTGTCTTAAAGATGGGTGTTAAAAATATAATAATCTAGTTTATTGAAAATTTTGGTCCAATATATAAGAAAAGTGTCTTAAATTAAACATTTTTGTGAATGTCTTAAATTAAATTTACATAGAACATCATTATTCATTTTTAAGACATTTTTAATGGGTTACCATTGAACATGCTTTAAAGAATTGGAGAAAACAATAATTAAATATAATTTAATGAGAGATCTTTGAATAAATTAATATTACTTTAATTATTATTTAATATTTAGACACCGGGCCGGGTGTCACTAGTAAAACACCATTGTCGGCCCGTATGGCCGTATCATCTAATTGGATATCTAAACAATGGTTTTCTTTTATATAAAAAGAGAGTGAAACATTGGTTTGATTGGAACAGAGAAATTGGATTGGAGATATGTAGACAATTAGCAAAGAAAGGGATTAGGGTTGTTCTGACATATAGAGATGATAGAAGAGGACTTGAAGCTGTTGAGACATTGAAAACATAGCTTGGTATTTCCGATCAAGCATTCTCTTTCATCAGCTTGATGTGTCTGATCCTGCTAGCGTCACTTCTCTTGCTGCCTTTGCGAAAACCCAATTCGGAAAACTCGACATCTTGGTACGATCAATTAGTTACACTCTTTTGATCAGTTTCCTCTGTAACAGGTCTTAAAAGCAAGAGAGTCTTTATTGCTGAATTTCCTCTTATTACGTTGTCTGTTATATTGAGTGATCTTTTGATTGTTTTTACATATTAGTAATGCAGGAGTTGGTGGTGTAATCACTTATGTTGATGGTTTAAGATCAGGGACAGGGACATCAAGAATCTTTTGCGTTTAAGCAGTTGATCTAATGATTATAAATCTTTGTCAAGTTTCATGTTTTCTTGTTATATTACAATGCAAGATAGGACTATCACGGAGACGTATGAGCTAGCTGAAGAGTGCATCACAATTAACTGTATTATGGATCAAAAAGTATGTGCGAGGTGTTTATTCCTCTTTTGCGGTTATCTGATTCTCCAAGAAAAAGAATCGTTGATGTATCATCCTTCATGGGTTAAGTAAAGGTATGATATCAAGAAGGCTTGAGAGATGCTGGAAGAGAAACTTTATTGTACATTAGTATTGATTAATGTTTGTTCACCAGAATTTGCTAAACGAATGGGCGAAAGGGATCTTGAACGACGCAGAGAATCTCACGGAGGAAAGAATCGACAAAGTGATCAACCAATTTCTCAATGATTTTAAAGAAGATACAGTTAGGACAAAAGATTGGGCTTATAAAGTCATTAGATGAACTCTATTTTTTCTTCTATAATAGAGTCCTAACTTTTTAAATTGCAAAGTAGTTATTTAACTTTAACCTTTATTATTTATGATTAAAATAAATACTTTTTAATTATAATTAACAACATAATAAAATATTTAAAAATATTGATAAAAATAGTTGGATTTTAAACTTTTATAACTTAGAACCAAAATAATTCAATAAAAAATTGTTTTCTTTTATTTCAAAGTGAAACATTTTCAGTTGTAGAATGTTTTTTTAAGTAAATAGGTTAATTTGCAAAATTTATGTATATAATAAGTTAAAAATAAATGGGTTAATTTGCAAATATCATAAGTAAAATGTATTAATACTAAAATAGAAATATAATCTATATAGAATATTCATTTTTAGAGAAAAAAATAGAGGTATACATTGGTATTAAAAATCATTTATATTATATATAGATTTCCTGTATTTTAAAAGGCAAAAATAAGAAAATCCATTGAAGATGGTCTTAGTACATAATCAATCCAAATTTTATTAATGTAAATGAGATTTATTGTTTGAAAGCATTACATAAATTCATAAATAAAAGTACATATTGTGTTTTTTTTTTGGTAAATAAAGTACATATTCTGTTGAGCCATAAATAAAAGTACATATTGTGTTGAGCCATATGCTTATGGGCTTATGGCCTATTAAACCTTATTCATTGCAAACTGTGTTTTGCGTTTCCAACTCTCTTAAAGCTTGCGGTTCTTAACACTAACAGGAACAACTTGAAGAGGATGCTTCCTATGGCTAGTGAGACCAGGTGCTTCTTCAACACTCACTTCCCCTGTCGGTATCCAATCAAAATGATACAAAAGATTCGCCACTGCGTACTCCACCGTACTTAGTCCCATGTACATAGCGGGACAACCTCTGCGTCCGCTCCCAAACGGCAACAGCTCATAACTCGTCCCTTTAGTATCCACAGTGCTACCAATGAATCTTTCAGGGAAAAACACCTCAGGATCCTTCCATGCATCAGGATTACGACCAATAGCCCATGCATTGACATGAATACGCGTTCCAGGGTAAATGTCATAACCTCTGATCGTGAATTTGGTCATTGCTTCTCTAGGAATCAAGATTGGACTTGGTATGTGTAACCTCCAAGTCTCCTTGAGCACCATTTTCATATATTCTAGACCCTCAAGATCATCGTAAGTCACTGTACCATTGTCTCCTACGCGTTCACGGATCTCAGCTTGCACTTTCTTCATCACTCTTGGGTGTCTTACAAGCTCTGCCATTGTCCAATCTATAGTGATTGCAGTTGCGTCTACTCCTGCTAGGAACAAATCCTGAAATGAAAAGAACAATGCTTATGTCTTAAAATCTATTTACTAAGAACAAAACTTAGGATCGGATCCACACTGCAGCACTGACTAATATCCATAAATATATGCGGCCTATCACATCGAACTATGTTATATTTTTATTTTTGTAGTCTCATTATTTTATATCAAAATGATTATAAAAAAAAAAATCCAATTAAATCCTGATTTTGCATCTAAAAGCCAGGCACGAACAGAGCTTATGTCTAAAAATCAATTGTATTAAAAACGTACCATAAGAATAGCTCTGATATGTGTATCAGTGATCCTATTAGAACCAAGTTTGGTTTCTTGACTCTGTAACTTGAGCAACACGTCAATCAAATCCTCACGTTCTTCAGTTCTCTTCTTTTCCCTATGATCAACAATAGCTTTCTGATAAAACGTATCAAGATCTTTAAAACCCTTCTTCCGGCTAGACTCAAGCCCGCTGATCCTATCAATGATCCAACCAAAGCTTGGGAATATATCGGCAGCCGCGAATTTCCCGATGACTCTGTTGGCCTCCATGAACACCTCCAAAAACCTGTCGTTATCAATATCACTCCCGAGAAAACTCAACCCGAACGCCATCCTACACGTAAAACTCGCCACGAACTTGATCAGCATTTTGCTGAGATCAACGGAAGTACCAGCAGCCGCAGAGTCAGACAACGAGTTAAGGAGCCGACCTAGCTCCTCGTCTCTAAGGTTCCGAAACGAGTTGGCTCTTTTGACAGAGAAGAGTTCAAGAACACAGAGTTTACGTACTTCTCTGTAGTAATCACCCCATTTAGTAAACCCTAAACCAAGTCCATCATAGAAAAAGGTCTTGGTGATTGATAGCTTCGGGCGAGTGCAACACTCGGAGTCATGGAGTTTTAAAACCTCCTCAGCCGTCTCGGGAGAGTTTACAACCACCGTACGTACGCTTCCGAGGTAGACGGTGATGACAGGGCCGTATTTGAGAGAGAGATCTCTAAGGGTACGGTGAGGGAGTGATCCAAGCTGGTGGATGTTTCCTAAGATAGGTAATCTTGGTGGACATGGTGGTAGGTTTTTAGGTGAACGACGAAGAAGAAAGATTATGAGAAGTGAAGGAAGTAAAAGTAGAACAAGCCATGCAAGCAACTCAGTGGACATTGGGAACGTGAGTATCGACATTTGCTTTTGTTATGATCTTTTTGTTTTTGTGTTTGTGTTTGTGTTACGAGACCATATATATATACTAAAATATATGCGCCGTTATACGTGGATTAAATATAGAGTTTTGTTTGTAAAGACATCTCTTGACCACATGGTGACATGTTTGAGTAAGACGTTTACCTTGTAGTCTACATATATTGAACACAAGAGACGGGTCATTAAAGGTAACCTTGAAGAGAAGTGTAAATTAATCTATATTATACGTATAATTTTCTTAAATACCACTAAAATAAATAACACAATTAAAACTTAAGTTTTTAACATTCAAAACTAAATTTTATATCCTAAATACTAAATTATATGCTTAAAACTACACTTCAAATATAATTAGTCAACCTAATCATAATTTTTTTACATTTTTAAAATTTAATTTTTTTGTTTATGATATTTTTTTAAAATAAAATTTTTATGGTATTTTTGAGAAAAAAAATTGTGATATTTTTAGAAAAAAATTTGAGATACTTTAGAAAAATATAAATTAAAATATGATATCTAAAGATATTTCTCTTATATTCAATGGTCAAGTCTCAAGTATGATTACTTTGAATCGATGTATCACGATTCAAACCTTGACTTCAAACCTAAATAATAATATAATTGAGTTTTTTTTTTTTTTTTCGTTTCTAAAATGGAGGGCTGGGATTCAAAGTCTTCAGACCAGAATTTCTAATCCCCATGGCTCAAGTCTGATATTAGAGAAGAGAACATATCTGTGAGCGTAATTATCCACCAATCAACATACACACCGTTGGTTAAATTGCATATTACAACCAATAAATGTCTTTATCACAAAATGAATTTAGTTATTATGTCTTTATGCCTCCTATCTCTGAAAAGTAATGTTTACATCCATATATGAATTGGGCTATAACCAATTTGAAGAAGGATACGTCTATGGTTTAACGATAGAAACAAAACAACAAATGACTTTTTTTATGTTTCTGTTTTAATTTATTCAGAATAGTTGAAAAGGTTTGTACATAATATAAAAACTGTTTTATGATTGAATAGTAATTTTTGCCATTTTCTTGTGTTATGTTGTAGAAACAATTTTGTTCGATCAAACAACTAATCGTTTTTTTTCTTTGATTAGGGTTGTGGATGCAATTTTGTTAGATCAAATTAATTTGTGGTGTGTTGTGGATGCAAAAGTTCCAACTAAGTATATATATGAATATTTTGTTATAGATCAAATGATAAATGTATATGGTTTGGATCGGATCACTACAATGAAATAAAAGTGTTTGGTGTAACTATATATGTATATAGCATTGTAAACGTGGTGATGATGCATCTGCACGTCCCAAGTAAGTAGGTAAAGTTTTCATTATGGTTGAATCTTATCAACTTGATTCGAATTTTAATATTTTAAGGAAGATGGATGATTCGAGGAGATAAAGTCAGATAGTATCGTCATTTTTTTTTTTCTTTTGAAAATTGAAGTCATGGAATGGTTAAACAAGAGAAAGATAAAATCAGGGGTACGTACTACTATGACTAAGATTTTCAAAAGATAAAAAAAAATGGTTAAAGTACTTTTAACGTAAAATTAAAGTCATAGAATGATTAAGCAAGAGAAAGATAAAATTAGGGATACTTGTTTACAAAATATTTTCAAAAGATTGTAAAGATAAAATTAGGGATACTATATTTGTAAACATATATATCCAAAAGGAAACTTTACAGAAAAGTGGTTAAAATACATAATTTTGTTATATTTTGAAGTGTTTAAAATGAGTAATTAGTAATATAATCGTTGAAACATGTCAATTAGTTGGTCATATTTTAATGCATGTAAACCTTAACAAACCAATGTATTGTTTCTCACATCTCTGCTACAATTGGCTCACAAACCACAGCCATTTTTTTCTCCTCGCCGATGAAGAAACTCACAGAAGACCAAAACATACGACGACAAATGTCTATATCTACCGTAAAGAGTTTGCTCCACAACACTGATTTAGTATCAATCTTATTAGTCACACATACATCCACCTTTGATGCATGATGATGAAGCTGGTCATGTAACAATGAGAGTTGTTCTTCTCAAACAGCTGATAGAGCTATAGTTTTATGAACACCATACCAGAGACCAGAGACAATCAAATCTCTCTGGTTTCTTGTTTCTTGTTATGGCGACAAAAAAGCAACTAGGCATGTCAAATAGGGTTAAAGCCCGTAGGCTAGTTTGGCCCGGCTCTGAAAAACATCGGGTTCGGGCTTAAATATATATGTTCAGAAAAAACTGGGCCTTTTGGATTAAGCCCATTCGGCTAAAATTTTTTTTGGGCTTAGCCGGTTGGACTCAGGCCGGCCCGAAAAACCCTTAAACAAATAAATTTTGAATTTTTTGAATATTTTAGTTTGATTAAAAGATTTGATTAATGTTATAGTTTTCATATTTACTTACTAGTCTTATTACTTTTAAAATCTTTATCTATAATATTTTCTCTTATTTATATATGCCAGAACTGAACAAAGCTAAAACTAAATATATATAGGTATCATGATTTTGAAATCATCAAAATATATATTAAATTTTGACTCTATCATATACTTTAAAGTATTTTAGTTTCATGTTTTATTGGGTTAAAGTGTAAATAATTTATTTGGTTTTTATTTTTTTCTCTTAATTTAAGTTAGTTTTATTAAATATTGATAAGTTATTTTAAATTCGAAGCATTATTTTTTATAGTAGATCTTTAAATATAGTTTTTGAAAAACTATTATGAATTTAAAAATTAATTTTTTTATCGGTAAGTAAAGCCCAAAAAAGCCCGAAAAGTCTTGTAACCCTGTTAGGGCCGGACCAGACTTTGAAATATAGGTTCGAAAATTTTTCGAACCGGATCAAACCGGGCTCACATATATAAGGGCTTTACGGGTTTTGGGCCGGACCAGCCCGATTGACATGCCTAACAGCAACCGCTGCTTCATGCCATTAAAGCAGTAGAAATCGATTGAACTCTTATTTGTAACAACTTTGATGTATACTCAATTTGATACTAATTCATCTCTATTTTAATTCTTACACCGACCTAAGATCCTTCAGAGAATATATCTCTTTAATTCTACCTCTTCTCTTCTCGTCTTGTAAACTTTAATCTCACACACCAAAGAGCTATAAGCCTTTAGATTTGTATTCACGTATTCATATCATCATCATACCCATGATTACTTTTATTCTTGGTATGTGTAGGTTTCATAATCTGCTAAGAATTGTTAGCATGTCACCCTCATTTACCAAACGAAATTGGTCTTCTGATTGTTTTAAATTCCATTTATTTACTTTTCTTTTATATTTTCAATACTTTTCCATAATTATTCGTATCCTCCACACTAGCTAACTCGACTCTACTTTGCTACGTTAACAAGTTTCACCTAATCTACTAAACTAAAAAACAAAAATTAAAAAATTCGTTTCTGTATAAGATTCATAGTTACGTAAAACTTTACTAGTGTCAATTAAAATTTGTATTTTTTTACCTTAAAAAGTGTTGACTTTGATATTTGATTATTAACTGAGGTAAAGAAGAAGATTCACCGACAGCTCCAAGTGATGAAATCTCAACCGTTGATTAGATTAAACAAAATACTAAAAACAATCTAACGGCTATAAATCGTCCAATTGCCCTGTTTCTTCCCTCTTTCTCTATTCTCCTGCATTTAAGAAATCTCTCACTCCACGAAGACGAAGAAGAAATCGAGCACATCCATGGCGAAAGTTCGGATTTTGATCTCAGCCCTTGTCTTCTTCTTCGTCGTTCTCAATGTCAATGTCCATGGATTTTACCTTCCCGGCGTCGCTCCACAAGATTTTCAAATGGTTAGTCACAAAGTTACCTCTGTATCTGAATCTGTCTTCTCTCTTGTGTGTTTTGAAAATGCAGCTTCAAATTTGGGCTTATTAGGGTTTTGGTTCACACTGATTCTTTGATTTGCTCCTGATTTAGATCCGACGCAATTGATTGAGAAATCTTGTTAAAAATTGACTCGACGGCTCTGTTTTTGTAGTTTAGTTTTGTGAGATTTGGGCGATTTTGATCTTAAGTTACTTTGAAGTTATGATTTTTTTTTAATATTTCAGGGTGATGCTTTGATGGTGAAAGTTAATAAACTGACATCTACAAAGACTCAGCTTCCGTATTCGTACTACTCTCTTCCTTATTGTCGTCCAGATCATATTGTTGATAGTGCTGAGAATCTTGGTGAAGTTCTTCGTGGTGATCGAATTGAGAACTCGCCTTTTGTGGTATGTTCTTGTTTCTTTCTGTGTGTTTCTTGACTGAATTGTAGTTTTATGAGATTTTTTTTAATGTCTGTTTGATTCTTTGTTGCAGTTTAAAATGAGGGAATCACAGATGTGTTCTGCAGTTTGTCGCGTAAAGCTCGATAAGAAGACAGCCAAGGCGTTGAAGGAGAAGATTGCTGATGAATATCGGGTTAACATGTGAGGAGATTTGATTTTGTTGTCGCCTTTGGTTGAATGTGTTTTGTTATTGCTGTTATGAGGAAGATTGGTTTATTATGTAGGATTTTGGATAACCTTCCACTAGTTGTTCCAGTGAAAAGGCCAGATCAGGACAATGTTGTAGTGTATCAGCATGGTTTCCATGTTGGTCTCAAGGGGATATTTGTTGGTGTAAGAGCTCATCATCACACTTTTCTGTGTATGTTTCAATGGAAGGAGTTCTTATTCATTTGATTTTTCCTGTAGAAAAAGGAGGAGAAGTATTTTATCCACAACCACTTGACCTTCACTGTTAGGTATCACAGAGATATACAGAGCGATTCTTCAAGAATCGTTGGCTTTGAAGTCAAGCCTTTCAGGTACCTTTTTGTGATTTAAGGACCTTGACTGTGTTTCGTGTAGATTAACATGTACTGGTTTTTATCTCAATGCAGTGTGAAGCATGAATATGAAGGTGAATGGAATGAAAAGGCTCGGTTAACGACATGTGATCCACATACAA